TTGTAGGAGAAGCTTTGTGGAGGACAAATTAAAGTACTGGAAGGGGTTGTACTTTCACCAAAAAATGTGAAACAAACTTATACCATAAAAATGGAGGTAGGTAGTCTGTAAATTTGCTAAGTGAGAGGGAGAGAGAGAGAGAGATACGCCTCAGACGGAGATTTCAAAAAAAGTAATAGAGTTTTTAATTTTTTACCAACTTTGACAAGACAAACTTTTAATGAGGGGTCCTTTTTTCCTTGGAACTGGAATGGAAGAAAGAGATGAGTGATTGGTAAGGGTGGATATAATTCGGGCAAATTCAAATCGAAATTTAAAATTTTTGAATTTGCCACTTAAACTTGTACCCAATTGCCAACCCGGTAAACGAACTTAGAAATTTTCCAATTTAGCACCTTTACTTTATAGAATAAGGACTAAAAACATATCCGTCTGAGCGTGTTCCTCAATCGTTATGATATAAATGATATGTCATATGCTTAACCTTTTATAATTTGACATGTGTAATTTGTAGGTCCCACTTTTTTAATTCAAATTTATCAAATTGTTAACTTAATTTTTGTTCTTTCTCTTCTCCTCTCCTACAACTTAGACCAGCAGAAACTCATAAACTAGCAAAAAACTCAATTTGTCTACTTTGTTAATTTCTAGTTAGTCATCATCTCCGCGTAAACACCCTTTTCCATTTAATTTCAATAACCTCAATCATTATTTCCATCGAAACCCTCCTTCCCACTAAGCCCATTGGCATAGAGCAAACAGATCAAAAATGGCATTTCAACCGCACCGTTAATTTTTTTCTTAAAAAAAAAAAGAAAAGAGAGGAGCATTGACCAGATCGAAAAAATTGACATGATTTCCTTATGTCAAAATTTGTGTTGTGGGTTACCTTCTTCTCTCTAGATCCTTATGCTAAAAAAAACTATATTTCCTTTTCAATTAAAGGTTAATACCGAAAAGAATGAGAAGGATGGGATGAAAGATTTGGGTGATGGATGGGATACAAAACAAAAAAATAAGGGGGAAGGGGTGGCGACGAAGGAAGTGGAAGGAAGAACGGGAAAAATGTTTCCTATCTATTCTTTTTATCTTTTATTATATATTAATAGATTTTTATTTATTTTAGTATTTTTTAATCTAAACTACTACATTCATGCGCTATTTAAGTGTGATTTGCATGCAGTTTCGCCATGTCAGCAATGTTTTCTCCACATAAGAATGGTCAACGGTCAGAGTGTTTATTAGTACTCATTCCGTCAAGTACAAGTGTTCAAATGAAAAACTTATAAATTTATTTACCGGGATGATAAATGGGTACAAGTTTAAGTCGCTAGAAGGTCATTTTGCTCCTTTTTAGTTTGAATATTCAGATTATGAAGTGGATTTTTAATTTTGTTGTTTTCCATCTTATTTTGTAAGATTGGAAGTTAGCTAGGAGTCCGTGTTTTAAAAGGTGTTTTTAGGGCGAGCCTCAGGGTGAGTTATGGGGCGAGGGACACCAAAAATGCCCCGAGACGATGATGGGGGCGAAAGTCGCAAGAGGCATACGCCCGAGCGTTGAGGCGCATTTTTGCAGTGAAACTTAAGCCCAAGAGACTTTTTCAAATTAAAATAAATTTTGCTAAATAAGTCCTTAATAATACTCAAATTCTCAAAAGTGAGCTTGTAATTACATAAAAAGTTTTAAAAGGAACTAAAACATTAAATTTAAAAGTCAAGAACTCTTTTTACTGCTAGAAGCCCTAATTTGTGGTCTTTCCTATTCTTTATCTTATTAGTTAGTCTGCTACTATCTCCTAAAAGCAACGAACAGTCAAATTTTTTTGCAAATACAAAGAACTCAATTCTCTGAGATAACATCAAGTTTAAAGTTCAAATTGCAGGTTAGTCATCATTTTTGTTCCTTCATGTAGAAAACTTTATTTCTTTCAGCTCAAGTTACTTGTGCTTGTAAGTAGCATATAATGGATTATTTTGAGTAGTTTTTATGGGGATGGAGCACATATATATATATATATTTCACTTATTTATAATCTTTCTTCAAGTTTTATGCAAATTTACATATTTAAAAATATTTACTGTAATTATATTAGTTTATGAAATATTAAAAATTAAATATACATGGAACTTATGCGTCACTAAAATATATGTAAAACGCCTTATCTTATGCTCACGCCTTTTAAAACACCGATCCCGTAGACTTCCAACTAAATGTCAAGTCTGGAATAGTGTTAGATTAATTAGCTCCTAATTTTTGGATGGTTAAGTTCGAACTATACAGGAAATTGCGATATTGACCATTAACAACAACGCACTTGCTTAATTTTAAGGGTCGATTCGTTCGCCGAACGATTTTAGTAGGATTCTAATACTCACACTCCCTCCGTCTTAAATTATTTATCGTATTTCTTTTTTATACGTTCCTTAAAAAATATTAAACATGAGAGGTTGACTCTTTTACCCTTATTTATATCTTAAAATATATAATATCTCTTCTAATATTTACTCATAGATGTATTTGTAGTCTTCAAGAACAACTAATATTAAGGGTAGAATAGAAAAAAAGAATTAATTTAGTTTTAAACTTTTAAAATAATAAATAATTTGAAATAATTATTTTAGAAACCACAATATATAATTTGAAACGGAGGAAATAATTAAGAGATAAAACCGAGTGAATTAGCAGCGAGAGAATTACAAGTAGAATTAGGATGCTATAGTATTACATGATTATAACTTTTCTATGACAAAAATAATTTGATATTATTTCCTTCTCAGTCTATTTAAAAAAATTAGTTGCTTTCAATATTTCTTTAATAAGAAGTATTTATGGCCATCCAAATGTTAGGGCAGGTTTAAGACCACAAGTTTCAAAAGTTTTACAGCCGCACAAATATTATGGCTTATTTAAAATCACATAGAAATCTTAGGTTCTTTATTAAAGTTAGATAAGTCAAACTAAGACAATCTTTTTAAAACAGAGGAGTATACAAAATCAACCTTAATATTAAATGAGCGTTTAGACATAAAATTGTAAAATTCCAAAAAAAGTGAAAAAAAATTCAAGTAAAAATGATATTTGAAAATTAGAGTTCTGTTTGGACATGAATATAATTTTTGGTTGTTTTTGAATTTTTGTGAGTGGTCTGAGTGAATTTTGAAAAACAACCTTTTGGAGTTTTTCAAATTTTCGAAAAATTTCAAAATCCAGTGAAAATTGAAAATTTTATGGCCAAACATTAATTTCGAAAATAAATTAAAAAAAATTCTTATGTCCCAAAGGAATCTAAATACCGAGTTCATTACTTCAAAAATGTATCAAGTAGGGATAAGATGCACCCTTTTGTGCTAAAACCATCATTAGTTTTCCCAAAAATAATCCCATCCAGGGTTCCAAATTACAGAACAATCAAAATACTTAATTATATCCGACAACAAAAATAATGACGACCCAATAAATTTTACAAGTGAGGTTTGGAGAAGGTAATGTGTACGCAGATCCTATCTCTACTCGAGGATGTTTTCGATAGATCATCGGCACAAGAAGACGAAAAGAGACAATATATCAGTACCATCAACAAAAACTATAGAAATAATAACATCACAAGAATCAGTAAATAGATGAAAAACAAAAACAAGAACCAGTAAATGAGGCCCGACACTATAAAAACGGAAGAATAGTGGGAACACAACATTGACCACCAGCAGTTTATGACAAAATCCTATCAGAACTAGCCTCACACTTGTACGAGTTAGAAATATGATCAACTACCTCCTAACCTACAACCTTAATACTCGACCTCCACAATTTCTTATCGAGGGTCATGTCCTCGGAGATCTGAAGTTTTGTCATATCCCGCCTGATCACCTCTTCCCGATACTTCTTAGGCCGCCCTCTACCTCTCCTCGTACCCACCAACGCCAACTGCACTCACCTCCTTATCGGGGCATCTGGACTTCTCCTCTGTATTTGCCCGAACCATCTGAACCTCGCTTCCCGCATCTTGTCATCCATGGGAGTCACGCCCACCTACAAGATATTCTATTCGTCTCAAATTATCTGTCATGGTTTCTAAAAATAGTTGTCTTCAATTATATGTTATTTTAGAAGTTAAAAGACTAAATTAATTGTCTTTTTTCTATTCTACCTTTAATATTAATTGTTCTTGAAGACTATAAATACCTCAATTGTAAGTAAATATTAAATGAAAAGATATTATATTTTAAGATATAAGTAAGGGTAAAACAATCAAAAACCTCTCCAATTTAATATTTTCTTAAGGATCGTGTAAACAAGAAATACGACAACAGATAATTTGAGACGGATGGAATATTATAAATGAATATATATCTTATTTCTAAACAATTTCCGAGGTTGATCAAGCACATTACGAGAATCTTTTTTCGGTTAAGCACGTTCTGAGATTTATTCCCTGCTCAATTGATCAAAAAAAAAAAAAAATAGTCCCTACCCGTAGGCCGTATCATTAGATATATATGCAATAATTTTTAGATACCTAGCCTATATAATATTGGCTATATCAAACATTCATAGAATACGAATAAAATATTACAGGATATCATCATGTTTTTTTCACTTATTTTTTAAACAAGCTCCACGAAATGGATGAATCGGCAGAAACTTTAAGGAATTAAGGATTGTTGGTTGCAGCGATCAAAACTTTAGCTTGGCTCGACAAGAAGCTTAGCTTGCTGCAGCAACTACTTTACATCCTCAAATAATTTTAAGGCAGAGTAATAATAGGGGTCTGGGACAAATAATCCAACACTCCATGCATAACACCCAATGTCTTACTCCTCTATTTCTCTGTCCAAGTGTCCATAATGATTGGCATTGTTCGTTGGCTGACTGCTATTTTGTTTTAACTAAAAGTTTGTAAATTTTTTAAGAACGATCCTTTCGCTCGAGTCTGAAAAATCAGTTTCATGAATTATAAGTTTGGTATGTAATTACACAACCGCATAAACAGTACCCAAAAAACTGAAAAACCAAACAAATATTAAATTTATTTCGGTATGATATTTGGTATATAACCTTTTTAAAACCGAAAATAGCAAATCGAAGTCTTTCAAAACCGTATCAAACCGACTAATTAACTCCCCTACCTATCTAGTATATCACTACTTACCATGGAAAGAATTACATGTTGAAGCAAAGAATCATAGGCCACGTATCCCTACATCCAAATCGTGATGAACAAAAATTGGAGGAAAAAGAAAGGTTTGCGTCTCTATTTAGCCCATGCAACTGAATCGATCTCACCCTGAGCAGCTCTGTACAACTCAAGTCTCTTCGCCAGAGAGATACGACGCTGCATTATTGCTGGNCACATTCGATCCTGTTGAGAAAAGAGCCCATCAGAGGGGACACACAAAATAAATCACATGCAATAACGCAGTCACGGTGCCAGCAAATTTCAAAAGACTAATTGAAAGACCAATGAATTTCAAGGATAAAAGCTAATTCAAAACTCACCTATCCTTCGAAGATAGGAATCATTATACCGGTCAAAAATTGAATGTGTTGGATTTCCTCCCTTCTCAATATCTTGAGGAAGTTTCCGGAAGAAATCTACAGTCAGGTAACTACACTCCATTTCAACCAGCTGAAGAGTTGCTTTTTTGCTTTCATCCCTCATCCTTTCTAGTGATTCAACAGCTGCACCGTTGACCTCAACTCTAAGAGAAGGATATTGCTTTAGCTCCTGCCAATAACAAAAGGCACAGTATGTGAATTATTTGTACCCTTTTTTTTTTTTTGATAAGGTAAAGGTTTTATTGATAAATGTACCAAGATGGTACATAAGATTACACCAGGATCAGACAACACCTATAATAGCATACTTTCAGTTACAAGTTGCTTAGCACATCCAAAAACTCCATATATTGATCTAGACTTTCAACTAAACATTATTTGTACCCTTCTAACTGTTTAACAAAACTTAATCATGGTAACGAGATAATTCTTCAACTTTTTCCATGTCAGAATCACTGAGCACGATCATTATTGGGGGTTCATTCGTTTAACTCCACCAGAATGAACTTTTAAAATCATAAATGAGAATGGCCGAGATTTATGACAAACATTAAAGCTTTTCATATATCTCGAACTCAAAATAGTAATTTTAAAAGGGAAGTGAACATACTGCAGTCTCACTAATTGACTTGTGAACCAGTTCCTTCAGTATAGCATGAACCTGAAAATGTTGCAGATGAAATAGTTAAAGAATTGTTTTGCCAACTGCACCAAGAGATGTGCCCATAACACTGAACAAAAGCCCCAGAGTACTCTAATTAAACAAGGTCAAGCACAAAATACCTTAATAATTTTCTCCACCATTAAGCGCTTAACAACAACGCAGTCTCCACAGTTCGTCTCAGTTTAAAACATAATAATGTAATTGATAGTTAAATACTGCTGGATTTACATAGTTCAACTTTTAGAAGGTACACGGCAAAAACAAAAATAAAACCTCATACTTGTCATTCCAGAACAAAATGAGTTCAACAGAGTAGACATTCTAACTTTCTCGCAAGTTCTCATTTCTACAGAGAAACAACTGGTTTCTAGGTCAACTTACATCCCCGTTCATGTAAGATTACATCTTTCTTTAAGTACGTTGTTTCAAATACAAAGAAAATCCAAATAGACTTAAAACTAACATATCGCAGACAGTAGGCCTTGTCTTTGCGACATTTAAACTGTGAAATAATCAAACTTCTCTATAACAACTGTCCTCTATACCAACACTTCACTATAACGGCCAAATTTTTTTTAACCAATATTTCATGTTATGCTATAATATATGTCCTCTATAAAAGCAATTTGCTATAGCAGCCAAAAAACGTCCGGACAAATGACACCATTATAGAGAGGTTTTAACTGTATCACACACTCAACAGCGAGCAGTGATTGCCCCTCAAGAGTTCAAAGTCAGAGATCCCATTATACAGTCTTTAACATACCCCACTACTTAAAATAGAAGCCTGGAATAAGAATCATCGAAAGGCAGAGGAAAAGACAAAGAAGAGGCAAAGGGGAACTGGAAGGAGATCCTTAACACTAAGAAAATTGAACAAAGCTAATCAAATCGTTCACGCGGAGAACTCTCGTTAGTTGCAACTAGAAACATATCAGAGAGAATTTAATTCCGTACCGCATCAACGGCTGCTTCAGCAGGACCCTTCATAGAAGTCAAGGAGGATTCAATAAGACGACGATATCCTTGCTCAGGAGCAATCAAATGTGGTTGGTATCCATCAGCTTCAGTTATAAGTTTCCTTACATTGTCCATTGAAAGTTGCTTATCAAATTGCAATCTTTTCAATGCAGCTGGAAGCTGATTATCAAAGACATTATATATTTTATCCCCACCAGGTCGACTGCAACAAAAATAGGATTAGAACACAGCAGCATATTTTATTACTGTAGATTAAAAAGACGGAAGCGGCGGAGAATACTTACACTCCATCAAGATGTTCTTTGAAGATTCCATCAAAAGTACGACAGACTTCCATAATCATGTACAACTTTCCCTGCATTGACAAATTTAAACATGCACAACAAAGACATCACATACATTGTATAGCCACAAGAAAGCAAACATACATTCTGAAAGCTAACATGAAAAGTACAGAACCAACTCATTACAGCTAGAGTAAAATCTGTCTGGCAAAATTTGATAACCAATTCAACAGAAAATTCAAGATGATACTTACTCCAGCATCTGTCGCAATGGGCTTCCCAAGACGGCTCAATTCATTTTCTAGCTCAATGATGGTCTTGTTGATAAGAGACTGAAGACCTGGAATTCTTGACTTGATAACAGACTCCAAGTGCTAAATAGGCATTAACGAGGTTTTAAAAAAAAGACAAGTTAGTAATCTGGAAAATTGAAAATCATGACTACGCCAATTAGGGAAAACATTAAGACCTTGACAGCTTCATTTAAAGCATAAATAAAAACAAAGAATTTTGTTGAAAAAGTTATATAAATACTTGTTCTCAAACTTTCTTCAGAGGACAGGAAATAAATTTAGAAAGAGAGGGCACATGCACTAATTAAAAACGTTTCTGCACGAAGGGCACTTAAACAACAATTCAAAATAGAAAAAAGACATTCTTTGAGAATATAACATACTTTTGACATAACTTTCCCAAGATGTTCTGAACCCATCCTGTTGGCCATATGCCTGTACTCAGGGGTACTAGAAAAATACTCCTTTTCTCTACGCCTGGCAGCAATCATGTCAACGTTTTTATTAATATCTTGTTGAGAACGATTGACAACACCTATCCATGGAAATTGTAGTTTATATGCTCTTCCTTCCAAGATCTGAAAATCCAATAAGATGATTTAACATAACAACCATCGCAAACCTTTATAAAGTGTGAATAAACATTTGGCTATTTGTTCAAGAAAAGAATTAGGTAGTATCCAACTGAGCAGCAAAGGGAAATGTTGACAACTACTCATTAATCTATTCCAAAAGGTAGTATTCTGAAATGCTCAGACAAGAACTCAAAGAGAAAGATAAGGATAGGTGTTTCCAACTTTCCATCACATCTTATATCTTGAAACCAAACCATGGCTATTGTTTTAGATTGCTTACTTGAGGGCTTATCATTTAGTCAAATATAAAAGCATATACAGACACTAGTAGTTCACATAAAACACCATTCAAAAAGCATATTTTCCTCTCCTGATGCTCCTTTTCCCATAAACCAGGAAGACGCCAACAAAATTGAACAGATTAAATTTTCATTTTGGATTGCTGTAGCAAGGACGATGCCTCACAATTGTCTTTGATAATAAAATCCTTAAAGTGAGTTCAAAATTAATGACAGATTTACAAGATTTTAGATCCCTTTAGTATAATTTCATTTTTCACTTAACTGCACATTGAGATTTTGTTTAAACTTTCTTACTTTGACATGTTCGTCTAAACAACCTTTTTTCTTTATACAGAACATACTTCTGAAAACAATAAATTTGCAATACTAGAGAAAGTATGCTACCAGACTCTTCATTTGTCTTGAAGCCCCCCTGAAAATGGGTGGGATAGGCATTTCATAAAGATCCTTCGAAACGCACAAGAAATCTACTTTGTTAGTTTCATTGTATAAATAGTAGTAAATAACCCTAATCCCGTATGTATTAGGAGTAGGATATGTATTGTATATATATATATGGCCCATTGTATCATTGTCTAATTAATCAATAATATTTTCTCCCATGCATTCTCACATGGTATCAGAACTTCAGTGAGAAAATTATCGTTGTGCATCATTCCAGCGGCCTCCAGGAAGAAAGACCTCGTTGCCGTGCAATTTTCCGGCGATTTAAGAGGCTGCCCGTAATAAAAAGTCACTTTTCGTCAGTGTTGTGCAAAAACCAACACCACCACGAAGTAGATCGGCCTCCGGCGACCAACCCTCTAAAATATCTCCGGCAGAAAAGCTGCCACGCGCCGGCAGAAGAAATTTTCCGGCGAGCGCGTGAGGCCTCTTCGGCCATTTTTTGGCCGAGCTTCTTCAGGACAGCCTGATCGCACTGAAATTCCGACCATTTTGAGTTTTTCCGGCGAGCTACAGTGCTTTTTCCGGCGTGAACAGTGATTCCAGCAATTTTCTGCTTTTTCCGGCACGATATTATAATGGAATTCGTACCTGAAGCCTTTAATTCACAATCCGTTGGATTAAATGCAATAAATCCAATCCAGATGGTTTCTTTACCGGATTATATTGAGTTCCTTCAGTACAAAACACGTAAACAGACATCTTCAAGATTAACCTCCGTTGTTTCAACAAATAGTAGCATGACTGATGTCTCCCAATCTTTACCTTCTGAGTCTTGGGTCATTGATTCAGGTGCATCTGATCATATTTCTGGTAATAAATCTCTTTTCACTAGTATCTCATATTCTCAATCTCCTCCAACAGTCACAATGGCCAATGGGTCTCAAGCCATGGCAACTGCAATAGGTCAAGCAAGTTCACTTCCTTCCTTACCTTTAGACTCAGTTCTTTATGTTCCTGGTAGTCCTTTTAATCTCATAGCGGTTAGTCGCTTAGCCAAATCACTTAAATCTGCTGTTTTATTTCTTGATGACCTTATTTTTATACAAGAACGCAGTACAGGGCGGATCATTGGTACCGGACGTGAATCAAATGGATTTTATTACCTTATCCTTGCAAAATCACATGGACTCGCATCTTGTCTTCCTCCAATAACTTCTCCCGTTACTGATTCACCAGATTTATTACATAAACGGTTAGGACATCCCAGTTTGTCAAAACTTCAGAAAATGGTACCTGGCCTATCTCACTTGTCTACTCTAGAGTGTGAGTCGTGTCAGCTCGGTAAGCATACCCGCTCCCATTTTCCGCGGCATCTTGACAATCGAGCAGAGTCACCTTTTACTTTAGTCCATTCAGATGTTTGGGGTCCTAGTCGGGTTAGTTCTACCTTAGGATTCCGCTACTTTGTCAGTTTCATTGATGATTATTCCAGGTGCACTTGGATATTTTTGATGAAAAATCGATCTGAGTTGTTTTCTATTTTTCAGACCTTCCATGTTGAAATTCAAAATCAATTTGGGATTTCTATCCGCACATTTCGTAGTGATAATGCCATAAAGTATTTGTCTTCCCCATTTCAGTAGTTTATGAACTCCCATGGGATTATTCATCAAACATCTTGTCCGTACACATCCCAACAAAATGGGGTAGCTGAAAGAAAGAATAGACATCTTATTGAAACTGCTCGTACCCTACTCATACAATCTCATGTTCCGC